GTCCACTCGATTATGACGATCCAGCGGTGTCCGCGGACGGCGGGGGTGATTCTACTCCCGTTTCGGCTACGCTCGACGTGCCCCTCGCTCGGAAAACGAGCCTTCCCTCTCCGTCTACTCTCTCACTCTCTTCTCTCCTTCCTCCTTCGAACGTCACTCCCGTTGTTAACCCTTTGACGACACGAGGATGCTACTTCGACAGATAACGACGGAGACAGCCCTTGGAGACGGTGGGAGACACGGAAACGCAATAACCGCGAGTGCTCTTTGAGATTCGCAAGGACGATATCACGTCGATCGATGAGCAAACAGCCACCTTTGTTGTTATCTGCAACAGAACATTAACGATGTACGCTGTGATATTAATAGTAGGTACGCTGAATCTTAATATCCCTAATACTTTTTGAAACCCATACCGCAGGATTATTCCCCGCCTATATCGACGTATTTTAGCATTTATTTTTAACACCGCGCCTGTGATCAAACGCATGGATATTAATGAGCAATAATTGCCGATCGTGTTTTTACGTAACGCGCGTCGCGGAACGAGTGCTCTTCGCGAGCGCAAACAAATCCGCTTGAATACATAATCCGATGTCGTTACTGTTTACTCTTTTCGGCGTAACGCGCCCAGCGGCAGATGTGTTTGTCTCGTTAAAGCTTTGACACTTGTTATCCCGTCAATGGAAGGTGCACGTCGTCAAATTTCACGTCTTCCTTTTTACTTCAATTTATCTCCGTATTTAATATCTTAATATTACTTTATAAAGAATCTCTCCTTCTTCTCCCACCCCGTCTCTTTATTGCTCCCCCCTCTCTTTCTCTTTGAACTCTTCGATCGATGAATTCTAGTCAGCGCAACTGATGCAACACGTGCGCGGCGTGTAATCTGTTACATAACACGTTACATTTAACGTGAAAGACAAACAGCTGTTGATCCTAGAGGTAGTAAATCAATCGTAACGAAAATAGCGCATTTTATCGAATTGTACATCTCTCCCCCTTCTCAAATTCTCTCTCTCTCTCTCTCTCTCTCTCTCAAATTATTAGCAATTTGCTACAATTTCAATGATTACGAATAACTGACATTTGCTTAGAATGCCGTACTTGTCGCGTCAGAAGATTGGTAAGCGCCCTAGGCGCGATGTAATTTATTCGCTGTTATTGAGCAAATTCACACGTCGCATGCATCCGATTCGATTAGCATCGTCGGCGGCGTAGAAAACGGAACGGGTTCGGGACAAGCGACGATTACGAGGCGCGTTGAGCGGTTTGACAGCTTTAATTACGGCACAGAGAGAAAAGATCGACCGGTGAGCTAATCGCGCGGAATAGCTTCGTTTCACGCTCGGCCGGCCAGCGTTCGTCGATTCGGCGATTACCGCCTTGACTCGCGGCGCACAATCGAGCGCGGGAGAGGGATCGGGAGGCCCTAAGTGTCCCTTAACGGGTGCCCTTGCTCCAAATTTAAGCTCTCCGATTCCGCCGCCTCGTCCCTGATTAATTCCGATAACCTTCGGACCCCATAATCGTTCGCGCAGCCTTCAGAAACTTTTTTTATATAAACTTTTTTTCCCAGCGGAAGGAAATAGGATGGCGATTGCGTGGAAAAACTTTCGATCGCGCGAAAAAACGTAAAAGATCAAATTGAAGGGAACAAGACATATGAAGACATCGTCGGCGACGTCTTCGTATAGCAAGATGCATCTGCTTGGAGCGAAGTAAAACTTGAACAAGACGCGTCTGTCTGTCACGTCTCAAGCGATATAGAAAAGACACGCGTCTCTGCAAAAACACCTGTGTGTAACCAAGCCCGAGATGAATTAAGGCCGCGCGGGTGATAACTTGATTTTGCAACGCGACCGGGCATAAGTATATGGGATCTTTTCGCGAATCAATACACGAGCTCGCGTACACGAGGGAACAATCGAGGCGCGAGCAATCAGGGCGATACGCGTGCACCATCGTTCGCTGTTAAGCGGTAAACACGTCGCGCACAATTTCAAAGGGTTAGAACTTCCAGCCTTCTCTCTCGCGTATTTCACCCCCGAGGAGATACCCACCCTACCCGGGCGGTTAGTTTTTCATTCTCTTCGGCGTCGACGTCGCGGACTTTCGCGGAACAGCGTGTGCGTTTCTAAGTCATCGCGTCGAACGGCGTCGCAAAACGCTCTCGCGCACCGCTGATAAGAGGACGCAGCGACGGCCGACGACGATCGCAACGCGCATCGCGCAACTGGTCGCGTTGCGCACCGGGGGACGAACGAGCGGATGGACGAACGACGAGATTGCGTGCGTGGCGTGCGTGTACGATACATACGTCGGTGTCGCGATCGTTCGCGCTCCTGGATAACGAAGATCCCGCTTCTGCGCGCGACGCGGCGACGATCGCGAGACTGTGGAGGCGCGGCGTAAAGTTGCTTCTTTATAGCGCGAATGTGGCGGCTAGGAGAACCGCGCGCGTGTGTGTGTGATGCTCATGCCACGCGTTCGAAAAGCGCGCGAGAGGAGGGTGGAATTGGCGAGGCGGGAGAGCGCCGACGAGGAAGAGGGAAAAAGAAAGAGAGAGAGAGAGAGAGAGAGATAAATCGACGGGCAGCGCGCGATGGGCGAAGCAAAAAATCATGCTGAATCCACGCGCGTGCGTGCGTGTGCGCGCCGAGTATCCTCTCAATGATCGCCGGAGGAGAGGAGATCGCGCGCTCGCAAAGCGGAGGTCGCGCCTTTCTCCTTTCGGTGTTCCAAGCGGGCTTTTCGGGGGAGGGATACGCCATTATCATCAGGCTCGCCCTTGCCTCGCTCTCGCGTTATCCGGTGTCATCCGGTAAAAACCGGCGCGGGAAGCGAGAATCCCGCGAACCGGCGAAAAAGGGAGTGAATGACTCTCGTCGCATATACGACGGTTTTCGTGGCGTTCGCCCGGTGGGGGTTGTTTCCCTCACGAGGGGGGGGGGGGGGGGTAGAGAAGGGGGGGGGGGGAGGGGAGGGGGGGGGGGGAAGAGGACGCGCGTCCCGCGCTCGCGCTCTATATCCTCCTCCACGGCCTCCGCCACCTCCGCGACTTGGCGGCGGTCGCCATGGCGAATTCATTGTCACCCCGGATTCTATCTGGGCGCCTCTATTTCCGTCTGACGTGCGCAACGAATCGGATGTCAGGAGGTACTGCCCACGCGGCGCATATAGGATCGATAAAACGCCTCCTCCTGAAATTCGGATAAAGCGTAGGGCGCCACTGCCCGCCTTTCGCGCATCCCGAAACGTAATTTAAATCCCACGGCCACGTGTGGCGGAAAGAAGAAATTCGCGCGACGTTTTCGGCGATAACACGTGGTCGAAAAGCGAAGCGTGCGTCGCGCTCTCCCTGGCGCTTGATCCCTTCGAGAAGCCATCAGGCACCGTCGCCGAATGAAATTCGGAGAGAGCTCGCAGCATCCGCGTTTTGGCGCGCGATCGAGCGAGCGAAGAGGCCCGCCCCCGTTGAAATGAACCCTTCCTCTCTCTCTCTCTCTCTCTCTCTCTTCCTTTTTTATCGATTTTCAGAACTCGGCGTCGCGCGCGCGAGGGAGGGAAGGAAAAGGAGGGAAAGAGACGGACAATTTTGCCTTTATTTTTTTCGGTACGCCTCCACTTTGTGGAGACGCGATGCGGGAGATGAAAGATGAAACTCGTTCGTTTCGCGCCTTTGTCTCGGGCCTAACTCGCGCGATATCGCACGAGTATCTATAGCACGAGGAGAATTGCCGTATCCGGCTGCAGCCGCGAGACTACTTGGCTACACGCGCGATCCGACGCGACGCGACGCGACGGCTCGTTCTTCCTGTTGTGCGCGGAATCGCGAACCGCGACCGATAGCGCGAGCGCGGAGTAATTCGAGCTGGAGCCCGCGCGAGTTCGAAAAGCGCGGGAACGACGGGGAAAAACGGGCCACTCTCTTTCTCTTCGACTCGTCGCGCCTTCGTAGGTGGAGCCAGCGGCCGCTTTCTTGCCCCGATCCGATGGATCACTCTCACTCCGCTGTCTCAAGCTATATTTGTACCTCGAAGCGATGTTACAACAGAGAGAACGAGAGAAAAAGAGAGAGAGAGAGAGAAAATGAATTAACCTTGTATGCGCAACTAATGAATTTTATAATAGCCTAAATTGCCTTGATGATTTCGAATTGAATAGTGTCGAAAAATATTCTTAAAGTTTCCCTACAAATCATCTAAAATATGGGAAAAACATCTGTCAAAGATTATTGAAAGAGAATATCAAAAGTTAATACTGCATAGTCTCGGAACGACCTCTTACGCATCGAAGGATCGAAGAAAAAATAATTCTACGATATTATGCTTAAGAAAAAGAACTATAGATATTCATTTCGCAACAAACATCGTTATCAGGAATCGGAAATTTCACAATGTAAACAGTTTCTCACAATCTCTCATGTTACTCAATATAAATCTACGTTTCACTGATTTACGAAATAGATATAATTGATCTTCGTCCTTGCTTGTAATTTCAAGAAAATTTAACGCATTGCAACTACACTAATTACAATTACAGGATTAATGAGAAGGCTCTCGATGATATAATAAAATATGTACATATATATATATTTATTTATTTTAATACAAGTAGGAATTTCGCAACTAGTGCAAATTAATTAGCTTAGCGAATCGTCGCATTTGTTCAGTAGCTATAAAAGAAAAAGAGATATTTTTTTCTAATATGGCAGTATAAAGTAGAAAATCTCCGATTTTTCAGTTCATAATAACGGAAATATCTAGTCGATATTTCCGAATAACGAACGTCATTTAAGTCCGACAAATGAGAAATTGATGCGTTCCTCGATTCGCGATCCGCGTACAAAAGCTGGGTACTTCGATTATCCTCTCGACGAGAGTATCGAACCATTTAGTTATTGCCCCATTTAGCGCCGAAACGTGGGCTTCCAGCCCTCCCTCCTTTCCCACTTCCGCCGCTGTGAATACAGAATAACCTCGACATTTTTTTTTGTCTTTTTGCGCGAGAACTATCCGAATATTCCGAATGGAGGTCGGACATGAATAACATCGTACATTTGCTATTGTAATTTAGAACGGCACGTGTTTCGTGATACGGACGCTCGTCACACGCACGGGCCGTGTTCGGCGATGGGGGAGGACGGGGCTAACGGGATTATTAATCGCCAAGCGTCCGCCGCGGCGGCGGCGGTGGCTGACGGTGGCTCGGTTGAGAATCGCTGACGCGCGTGCGACGCGAACGCGCGGATGCGAGCGCGAGTCGCGCGAGACGGGAGGAGCGTTGCTTACAATCGGCTGCGTCAACGGTGCCCGACAATATATCCTCGTTCTCTCTCTTTCTCTCCCCTTACATTATTTTTCCTTGCGATACTTCAGAATCGTACTTCCTTTACGTGATTAATCGCGATTAAATCGGTACGATTGCCGTCTCTCGTTCGCGAAGAGCGAAAGAAAAATTAGCGAGAAGCGTGTTAATCGCCTCGCATCCCGGATATCGTTAACGCAGCCGACTGTACGTACTTTTGCGCGCGCGCGTATATGAAAACTGCGCGTTCGTCGAGAACGAATATTCCCGGGGCCGGCCGCACGCAAATGCGTCCTTGTTGCGGACTAATTGCCGCGCGCGCGCGCGCGCGCACGCGGTTGCATTAATTGCGTGCTCTCTTTTCCACGCTCCAACCTCTTTTACCCTCCCGCTTTCCCCTCGCGCGCGGATGCGAAACGTCGCCCAATTGCGAGCAATTTACTCGGTCCGCCGTGGGTCAATGCTAGATCCGCTATGCCGCTGTCGACGCCCGCGGACGGATTCCACTCGAATCGCCGTCGCCATCGAATATCCGTGACTGGAATTATTCGCGTATGCCCGAACGGAGATGAGACCCGGGCTCTTCTCGCATACCGAGGTGATCTCTCCGGCTATGCTTAGGTACCCACATACAGGAAGCGACTTCGAATGACCAGTCGCTGATCACTTGAACGATAATTCTAGGGTCACGAACGTAAAATATGGCTTGTTTTCTCTTTCTTTCAGTAAACACAAAGGATAATATTCGCACATATATATTTACAGGATCTTGGATGTTCGTTGTCCCTTAGAATGCTCGAAACGTCTTAGGCTTCAGTGAGTCAGTTTGAAATATTCCGGATGTATTTTGAGATTTAGGGCCGCGGATGCCACGCAGCTCAGCCAACTAACGAGCTTATTCTTGCTGCAACATTCATCAAGTCCACGATAAACAGGAGAGTTATTCAGAAGGTAAAGTTCCTCCGATTAGCTTTTCTTAAAGTAGCCTTTATTTCTTTTCTTAGTTCTCTTATTACTTAATTACCGCTTCTCACCTCTTCGACATGGTCTGCAGCAACCCCTGCGATAGACACGGATGTAATTGTAGGAATGGCGTGCCGACGATAGGATGAATCGCCTGCGATAATTCCGTGTAATTTAATTTGGAACCGTGAACCGTTTGAGCCTCATTTACGCTCACTGGGTTAATACCGGGGAAATCTAAAAAAAAAGAGACAAAATGAAAAAACGCCCGTCAGATCTCTCACGACAATTGCCGTGATCCTTCCCTCGCTGATGAATACGTGAAAGATAATGAGCGTTAATTATTCCAAACGACATGACGCGTTTCCGCCCCGCCGAAATGCGTTATCGGGATTAATTAATACCGTCCGCATATCTGCGCGAATATTGAAATAGTCGGACACGTTTGCGTTTATAATCAATAAAACGATGCACGCGAGGCAGGGATATGGCACGAATGCACGGTGCCGACAACCGCAAATTTCAGGCTCTGTCTCTATCCCCCTATATCGCCCTATCTAACTTTCGAAATTTTGGAAAGGCACCCCATGCCGCGCCCTTCTCGAAAACAGCTTTCGGTGTACTTTATTCTTTCAAAAGTCTCTTTTTTTTCTACGAGTCCTGCGGCGCGTGGACAGAGATCTTTTTCAAATACATCTCAACTTGCAAGTAGCCGACGCTCCTGAACTAGGTACCTGATTTCCATCCATTGAAGAAGAGCACCGGGACGCTGTAGCTAACAGACCACAGAATGTGATGCTCGATGATGAAAGGCGTTTCGCTCGTGGAGGTGGCTTCGTGCGGGTCTTCTCGAAATTTCACGTGGAACTCCTCGGCATCGTCGTCGTCACCGGTCGATCCGTCCTTTTTCGTAGCCGAGTCGTTCGGTACGAAGCACTTGGCTCTCCTAACTAGATAAGCTTCTCCGGGAATATCCTAGCGTGCATATAAATTGTTAGACGGACGAGAGAAGACGAAAAAGACGCCAAATATCACGCGGTATGCGATAAATGTATAAATGTATCCCTCAATCTCTGGCTCGTGTTTAAGTGGCCAACTCTTGACCACCCCGTCCAAGAAGCTCGTAAATAATATACTACATTTCGAGCATTCAAACGTAGAATTTGTAAATTTTACAACTTAACGTGCAACACATTTTAAAAGACTGCTCAGTTTATTAAATTTTTTTACAAGATTTTATATTTTTGTAGGTTTACAAATAAGCGGCACGCGAATGGATCGCATAATCGTGAGTTTCATCAACAATGTTAATGAAATGATTCAATCTACATATTTTATACGTCGGTTAGCGTGTAATTCGCGCGAGTGAGCGACTCGGCGGTATAAACTGTGTACCTTGTCCCCACGAAGCTCCCATCCATCCGATATCTTGGCTGAAACAACAAGAAACTTCTCTGCATTCTCGAGGAATTCCTCCCATGTAACCGTGCCCGGGCCGTCCATTGGTGCACGAGTCTAAACATCGAGATATATTTTGTCAGATCCATCATTTATATATACGTAACGCATGATAAACAAGCTACAACGGATTTTCCGCAATTATTGTATTTAATATATTGTTTCGCTTTGGTTTCCGAGTTTCGAGAGCCTCTCGGCACCTCGCGATTAATTCTCTACAGTCCCCATTGGTTAACGCCGCCTCGCGCGATTATCTCCGTAGCGTCGCTCGAACGGGCGAGGACAAGGAAAGAGAAAGACAGAGAGAGAAAAAGAGAGAGAGAGAGACAGAAAGCGCGTAACAGAATTATAGAAGATTTCGTTAAATTTTGCGTAGCGACGTCCAAGTTGCGACGTCGATCGCATGATAAAATTGAAAAAGGGGAAGCGGTTCACCCGAGAGAACAGCGTGCCTCCTCCCGCCCCCTCCCTGCCCCTCACCCTTTGCTGCTACCTTCTCGCCAAACTCTCTATCGCGTCAATTGTCGACTATTTCGCGTCGGACATGTCCGCCGACGTTCGGGCGCGATCGAGCGCCTCGCACCTCGCCCCCCTGTCCGTGCCTTCCCCTTTCTCCCCCCTGCGACCTCCTCTACCGCTTCCAGGGACTGTCGACATACGCACGCCGATAGTACTCCGCGATGTGTTACGGCCCCGCGTGTATGTGTGTGTGCGTCGGTCGCGGTCCAATCGGACGCGGAGTCGCAGGCCAGTGCCGTACCGCGCGCGGGCGCCGGAGCTGGAGTTTTGCGCCCTTTTCCACCCTCCTCACCGTCCGTCGTTCCGCGAGGTCCTTTTTGGGACAGCCTCGTCCTTTATTCGACAATGTACCGTCGGCGTGTCGTCGCACGATAGAATTTCTCGCTTGTTTTACGCCTGCGCCTTTATCGCAAATTCGAAGTATCGACCTATCCCAATATCGCGCAGCGCGTTTTTTTTTTTTTCAACAACAACGAGATATTCCATACGAGAAGCTGCGCAGCGGTATGTAACGCTCATACAGCGTTTCATTGACGACGACGACTCGCAAAGATTCTTTCACGAGAAATATCTTGGCGCGCGGAAAACGTCCGCTCGTCCGCTCCGTCAATCCGCTCGGCGGCTCCGCTGGACGAGATAACACGCCTTACCCTGCATGCTAATTTGTTACCGTTAATAACACACGAGACCAATAATGCAATCCCGGCAGGAGATAAAGTATTTTAACTTACTAATTGATTCAGAAATATTGTAAAATATTATAATTATATTCCGTGGCGTAAAACGGAATAATAAAAGCTGTCACATGGGCTAACAAAATCAACATATTCATCTCTAGCGCTACATACATACACACATGATATTTCCCACTGATTTATTTATAATAATATCAGGTAATTTTGCCGTCATTTTTTTTGCAGTAAATATGACTCAGAATTCGAAATCCAGTGAAAGTTCAGTTGACCACTGTTCTTTTAATTACAGTTTGGGGGCGGTATTCACAGTCGGATCTTATTTTAAGACCGTCTTAAGTAATGTCTTAAGTTGCTAATACGGTCATTTGATTGGCTGGACGGAGTCTTAAGGTTGCTTTTGACCAGACTTAAGACGATCTTAGATATAAGATCCGACTATGAATACCGCCGTAGGTATCGACGATTCTGGGTTCGCTCTGCGTAGACAAAGGTATAGAAAGAAATGTATAGAACGCCATTTATATATTTTAGAAAACTTTCTCTGCACAAAGAATGCCGTCAAATAAATCTTGGACAAAAAATATCCTTTAGAATAAACTATAAAGATTTCTCAAACTTTAACTGCGGTGGAAAGTAAAGCAATCAATATTTCGTGGAGTTCAATTCTAATTGTAAGTAGTATGTACAAGCTTAAACGGGCGTCAATATAGACACATTTGTATTTTCTCTTCGATATTCCAAAGTTGCGGCATCGATTTCCGCGGATTCGATTCTCCGCGCGTAAATGATTTATTTTTGATGAATATCTCTGTGAGAACGCGGTAGCAACGACAGCTCGGAGCTCGCACGATCACCCGCGTCGAGAAGATTACTCGTGTAAAAGAAAAAACAAAACGTCAAGGCAATTTTGAGTAAACAATTCTTTCGAGTTACGATCCATATGCGGAACATTTGTTCGTATCGACGATACAGAGAAAATCGTGTGTAATCCGGAGGAAGGCGCGGTTTCGCTCGCCCCCGTCATTTCTCGAGCCACTCGTACTCGTACAGCACTGGCATAACAAACGGCGATGCGCGCGCACCGTTCTCCGCCGGTGCGAGGAACGAGGACGACACGACGATAGCAGCGAGAGAGTAGCGCGGTAGCGAGAGGTGGAGCGAGAGAGGAACGGCGTGAAGGGAGGCGCGAGCGAGCGAGACAGAGCGTAACGAGGGATAGATAGGGAGGTGGGGGGGGAGCAGAGCGCGGCGGGCGGCGGGGATGGGGGACTACACACCGCCGACTCATCTGCGTGTAGTCGTGCAGCGCGTGCGAAATCTACGAGTCACACTTCCGAACTTGCTCGTGTTTACACGACAGTAAGTTCAGCCCGCTCTCCCACTCTTCTCGCTCCGTCCCTCGCGGCCCTCGCGCCTGACGTCCGTGTCGTTCTATCTCTCCCCCGCGCTGTGCCCGTGCCGTCTCTCTGTCAAGCGCGCGCGTTACGGGTGACGCGTACGTGTGCGTGCCGTGCGTATACTCGGCGTGTGTGTGTGTGAAGTTTACGTATCTCCGCGCGCATGTGTATGGTACGTGCGCGCGCACGGAGCACGTATGCGTTATGTACATCGTGCGGCCGCAGTGATACACCGTTCCCGTGTTGCGAGACGCCTGCGATCTGAGCGCGCGCGACAAAGCGAGTTTCGCCGAGGACGAGAGCCGCGTCCGGCGGCGGCAACGACGACGAAGACGAAGACAACGACGACCGGAGGTCCTCGTCCTCGATACGATCCCGGGGGCGATGCGCGGTACGCAGCGGCGAGTCGGGGCGACGGCAGCCGAGTGAGCGTATACGGAGTGAAGTGAGCGACGGTGAGAAGTGAACGGACGACGGCGACGGCCGACGTCGGCGACGAGTGATCGAAGACAATAGGACGCGCGCGAACGGTAAACGCGGATCACGATATACCGAAAAGACGGCGAGGTTGCGTGGAGGTGCGGAGGAACGATGAGAACTTCGACGACGACGGCGGCGGCGGCGGCGGTGATAACGACAGTGGTGGCGACGGCGACGAGGCGCCCCCAACGACGCACCTGAATCGCTGACAATTACGACGGCGACGTCGTGATGCGTCGCACCGTGTCGCTCCAGTACCGCGCAGCAGCAGGCACCTCGCTCCAGTTGTGACGCGACGTGTTCGTGACGTGACGCGACGAAAGCGGGACGGAGAAGACCTTCTTCTTGTCAGTGCGCGAGTGAGACGGAGAGGCAGCGAGGAAGAGAGAGAGAGAGAGGAACAGAAACACCTCCCGCGACTCCTTTCTGCGTGTAGCGAGTGAAACAGAGACGAGGATAGTGAGAGAGACAGAGAGAGACAGACGTAGACCGAAAGAGCGGCGCGCGCGAACGCCAACGAGTGCGCCGGAGTGTGTGTGCGTGTGTGTTGTGTGTACGAGCGTGCACCTTTTCCTCGGGTCGCGTTTCGTTTGACGCGACGTCGCGCGTCGTCGACGTAAGCACGTAAGCACGGCCGAGCGATTACCGTTCGCCGTTTTCGCTCCCGAACGAGCGAGACAGACGCGGCCGCCCGCGGCCGCGGCGGCACACGTACATACGCGCGCGGGGAACGCGCGTAGCTTGAGCGTGCGTGCGTGCGTGCGTGCGTGCGAGCGAGAGAGAGAGAGAGAGTCCCCGATCTCCCGTTCTTTTCACCGCTTCGGCCGTCCAGCGGCGCACGAAGGAACGGCGGCGCACTTGTGTTTACGCTTGAAGCATTGACCGGCCACCACGGCGACCATGTACGCCAAGGGAAAAGGGGCGTCGGTGCCGTCGGACTCTCAGGCGAGAGAAAAGTACGTATCGCATCGCCAGCAAGACGGAAAGAAAGAGAGAGAGAGAGAGCGCGCGAGAGAGGGAGGTGGGGAAAAATAAAAATGATTGGCGTTCCGTCGTGAAAATTCCAACCGGCCATTGATCGCTCGGTATATAACTCCATTTTTCTCGGGCATCCTCCTGACTCCACCTCCCGCGCCCCGCGCGCCCCCAGCTCCCAGCCCCCGGTCCCCGGCCCCCGCTCGCTCCGTCCGCGCGGGCTCTCCCCCTCCCTCTCCCCCTCAACGCTCTCCCACCACCCCCTTCGCCGTCGCCGGTTCTTTTTGCTCCGAGCCGTATCGCATCGCGCGTATATCGCGACCGGAGAACCCGGTTCGTCGGGTTAATCCAGTTTATTACCTACCGACGGCCGATCGGACCGATGAGCCATTCGTTTGTCTTCCCTCTCTCGCTCACCTCTTTGTACGTTTCTCGTTTCGAACGTACGTGACGATGTTTCCTTTCCTCCTTCTCCTCCTCCTCCGGCCGCCACCGCGCCCCCTCCTTTCCCCCTTCCCCCCTCCGCGAGATCGATTCGAGACTTGACGTGCGAAAGGCTCGATCGTCGACACGCGTCATCGCGTGGAGAAAATTCGCGCGAGGTGAAAAATTGGCGAGGGACCCGCGAATCCCTGGACGCGCGCTTTTTCGATTCCCGATCGAACGCCGGGATTTTCAAATGGCGCGAAACGAGCGCCTTCGATATTAAGATTGACAGGGAATTAAATCGCGCTGGATTAGAAAGTTAAGTTGTAATCAATTAGCAAACCGCGATCGATGCCACTCGCTTCGATTAAAAAATGTCCCGGTCAACCGCGCGAAGTTGCCGGCGCATCGATCTCTTTCGTCGTCCGTGGCATTACAATAATTGGGCGATATCTTGATTCTTGAGCTGTCGCGTTCGAGTTTTTAAACTTTCTTTTTCGCGCTCGTATTATCTTCTTCCTTCAAACGTCGGGGATGTACGACCGTCTCGCGTCAGGCGCGGCAAGCGAAACTTGAACGAGCAGCAAACTTTACGTTTTGGTTACGAAATGGTGTCGGGGGCGGTCGTTAACTGGAATTAGCCGGTCATAATTCTCCGACGCGACTGATTATCATAACGTAATTAACTCCAATCCGTTCGATACCTCAACTCTCTTCAGGTCGTGGTTCAAATTGCGACGCGGATCGGAAATTGTGATTCAATCAATCGATCGAGCGATCCATTCCGAGACGCGGACGGGAGAGTCCGGCGCTGCGGAAAAACGAGGATGGAATAAAAGAAAAACGAGATCGACCCGGCCGGGGAAAGATTGTCCAGCCGGGACTCGCGCGTAACCTGCTTTCTCGCGAGAGGCGATTGATCCGCGCGCGCTGTCAGTCAGCGAGGAGCCGCGCTTCCACGCTCCGCTCCGATTCGCGGTTTCCGATTCCCGCGCGCCATGTTTGTATCGCCCGGCCAGGCCGGCTCTTCCCTCCGCGAGATGCACCCAGCCGCGGGGAAAGTCGGCGTTAACAACGCGACGGATTCGTGAGGAAACGCCATTGTCGAGGCGGCTTCGAGTTAAGTACGGGCTTTCTAAAAAAAAAGAGAGAAAGACGGATACCGATCCCTCGCGTTTGCGTAACCTGCCCGTCTTTTCACGTTCCCCGTCGCTATCTTGAAGTTCGTTCTTGTTCTACCGCTCAAAGTTTGCCTCCTCAATTTCGAATGGCTAATGGCTAATGGATTTTTCCAGATTGGCGCTTTACGTGTATGAGTACTTGTTACATGTAGGAGCACAAAAAGCAGCACAAACGTTCCTGTCGGAGGTACAATAATTTTCCTCATTTTTGTAAATTTTTTACATCATTTTTACATCTATATTGCGAAATATTGTTAACTACAATGTGGTTTGCTCTGGTTGTCCAGATTCGATGGGAGAAGAATATCACACTGGGAGAGCCACCTGGGTTTTTGCATTCTTGGTGGTGGTAAGTATGCCTACGTTACCGTTAAAGAAAATATCGCAGGGATGTGATATTCAGTGTGAAATAATTATTATGAAATTTCTTTTCAGTGTCTTTTGGGATCTGTACTGCGCAGCGCCTGAGAGGAGAGATTCTTGTGAACACAGCAGTGAGGCCAAAGCGTTTCATGACTATGTAATTATATTAATAATTGCAATATTCTTTTGTAACTTGCATAAAATTATCGACCACTCAATATCAAAGCGGCAGTTGTTATATTAAATTAAATAGGTGCACAAGCGTTTGCATATTATTTATGGTATTTGTTCTGTTATCAGGGATTCGTGAATAGTGCTTACAACGTCAATGGCATTGCACACGTAAGTTGAAAAATTTATGTCAAACTATTAATATGCATTATTATAAACATACATAGTTGAACTTTTTATTTTAATACATATTTATTTAATACACATGTTAATAATGATTAAGAATCAATGTAATTTGATCTACTTTTTTAACCTTTCTCTCGCAAGACATCCTTTTTCGCAAAGAAGCTTACAAACTAAATAAAATTACAAAATATTTACAGAATGCTGGACCAGCTCCATCTCCAATTGGTCAAATGCCACCAAACGATGGAATGCCTGGTGGTCCCATGCCTCCTGCTTTCTTCCCAGTGAGTTTTTATTTGATAACAACAATCTCTTATCATCATTTGTTTTGATCTTTACTTACAGAATACGTAAAGTGAAAAATTATTTGATTAAATCGGTCGTCACAAAATTGCATTTCAATTGCATTTCGCTTATTACATCTTGTTAAAATATATTTTGATGATTTTAATTAATTAAAAGATTTATTGAATTTCTATTAATGCACTTGTTATAGTGATTACATCTTTTACGAGATAGTTTCAAGTAGGTTTTGCAACAAAAATTACTTTGGAAAGAAGATATTAACGTTTCAAACAAATCTTAAGATAATTTCTTATATTAATCTAATGCGTGTATTTTTACACATTAGATATATGTGTATATGTGTGTGTGTTTCACACACACATAGTCGTGTACCTGTTATCATTGTTATGCATAGTCCTTGTTTAAATTTTACACTTGATTCAAAGCATAATAAGCTGTTTCAAAATAAAAATCGTAACCAAATTTAATGATAGCTTAAAAGATAATAATTTCAATTTATTTACTAGATCAAGAGAAAATAGATAATATCTAAACAAATAATTTGTTAATATTTAACTTAGATTATTATTTAAATATACAATTGTCATAGAAATAGTTTTTAAATAAGATATATAAATAAGTGATAGAACCGATCTTTCTTTTTTTTTTGTTCAAAAAACGAGTTATATGTAAGACATTTTTACATGAGAGATGCATAGTTATTTAATTAAGCATATTTATATATCCCTATATATAATTGATGAATATATACACACACACTAGCCGTAGTCGTGATCAACTTGTTTTGAAACAAGTGTACATTCAAAAGACGTTCTTATGTCATGCTTGTCTATACTGTATATATGTACTTACTTTCTCTCTGCTCTCTATCTAATACTTGTATGTGCGTTCTTGTATCATTTTCACTGTTTCATCTTCTTGGCGCATAAAGCAAATCTAGAAACTCTATGAAGAACAGGATTATATAGATGTTAGAATACATTTAGAGCACAATATTGTGGTACAGTAAGCATATAATGACGAGTATATTGCTTTGTGCTGGTCATGCCACAGTAGTATATGTAAAATATTACAGGTACAGACATTATTGTTTTATTCATCTTATGCAAACGTTTGTTTGCAATATACAAATTTCAACATTTTCCTTGATTACATAGCCAGCCAAAGTTATACTCTCTAGAATGTATGGGACAACTAACATGGAAGCCTGCTTAGAATGTAGTCTAGTTTTTTTTCACAAATCTACAACTTCTTTACATTATTTAACAAACGTTAATTTCATGGATATTAATTATGTATTATATGATTAATTATACAATTTATGAAAAAATTAAAATAATTTTTGAATATAAGATATGTGTGTAAATATATATATATATATATATAATTCTATAATTTTATGATTTAATGGTCGTACATTTGTTGAAGTTGCAAT